ACGTTTTTCTTATACAGACATTTTAAGAAAACCTTTTTCAACAATAGCCGTTTTATCCTGGTAAAAAAAAAAATTGAAAAAGTCAACTTCTGAAGATCGTAGGTAAGTTAGTGAAAAAAAATGAAATAAAATAAAGATTCCCAATATTCGCCTGCGGTCAATAAGTCCCCGCGATTTCTATTTTCATGCGCGCGCTCGACGATCTTAAAAGAGAAAATAGAGGATATTGGAACAGGCCTTTCTGTCCCAAGTTTTAATTTAGGGATTTCTAGGCAATATTTGCTCCTTCCAACAAATTTTACAGAAAAAAGGGCGTTGGGTGCCCATGGTATGAAAGTTCCAAACGATATAAAAATTCATCACTAGGACAGGCTGCCTTGTGACACGTCATGTATGTTATATCAAGGGCTAGGGTGTTTCTTTTGGGGAATCATTAACATACGAGGCTTTATTCCTTAGAATACAGGAACAATCCCAGAATTTCAATTGTCACTTTCCTTTCTGTACTTCTGGTGAGAGAGATTTCTTTCTGAGTACGTTAGTCTAGCCATTTACATTTCATAGTTTAAGATTCGAATATTCAGCTTCAGTTCTTGAGATCAGATGCCAACCAGGAAGTTAGAAGAGAGAGCTGTTTGTCGGCTTTCCTTATTCTCGGAAAACGAAACGATTTCTAATTCTTGTTGATGATCAGCAGTAGGGCAAATTAAGATTTCTTTCGTTGCGATGTCTAAATACTGGCAGACTCTTCGTCAACAAAACATTTAGAGAACGTTCCCTTGCTACAAGGAGAATGGCTACTTAAAAGAATTGCAAACTATTTAGTTTAACGTCCAGTGAATTGGATGTAACCTTGTTTGGGTTTACGGTTTCATAGCGACATTTTGAACTTAAAATGTCGGAAGGTACAAAAAACGTAATTTATTCTCACTGATAGTTGTGAATCTTTTGCGTTCATCCATTTTACAGGTTGAGGAACAGAAAGTGACGGGTTTTTCCCAACTTTTTAATTTATTCATGCAAAGTTTTGTTTACCGGTTAATATGCAGTTGGTTGATTCTCTCTGTTCTTTTCATGACCAACTTTGATCTCTTGTATCTCTCTTTAATTTCCTGGCGGTTTAGAATACAATGTATATCAGCATTATTTGTTTAAGGATATCTTCTAATTTTATAAGTTTCTTTGGACCATGTCCTCTAGTAGCAAGAGGTTAATCAATAAACACGTTAATGCCAAATTCTCCCTTTGTTAATAGTTCCAACGAGTCCAACTATGTATTTCTGGTCTCAGACTACATCGGCCCGTTGCAGAAACTCAATTGGAATACGCATCTCTTCTCAGGGGATAATACACAGCTGTATGTATATCCAAGTAAAAACAAAAAAAAACTCATCCAGCAATTGATCCAATCCAATCCCAAGCTTTTGTTAACTGGGCTGCCTCAAGGCACGCCCAAGTTCATAAAATGGGTAGCTTTCTCCGTCAAAAAATGAGCACTATCAATCACTCACCCAGTAAGCTGGAGGGCGTTGCGCGATCCTTCAAAAACTCATTAATAATTCATAAGCACACTGGCCTATCAAATAGTCGATAATACATCACACGCAGTGACTTTATATCGATATAACCTTCCCTTATTAGTATGTGGTGTTTTATCAGATATTAAGTCACTGCACGTGACCTATGAATATTAGTTATCAGCACAGCAATTGACACAAGAAATGCTGCGTGAATATGTAATGTTCTTTCAAAATAACACACGCAGTAAATTTACCATTGGACAAAATTAAACTTTGTTCTTTCACCATTTTAATCAGCCAAAAGTTTTGTGACTCAAGGGTAATATTGGTTACGGTAGTGTCCAAGCGTTGCACCCAAGACTTGAGTTGTGAATACGCAAGGCTCGAGTACTGGATTTTTGATTACCTACCGTTCCGCCATGCCAGAAAAAATTTTCCGAAGTCTACTTTTTCACTGTACTTGATGACCTTGGTTTACCATTATCAATTAACTTCCTTTCTTCCTTGGCATTTTTAGGCTTCCGAGAAGATCTAGAACAAAACACCACTGATCGTCTTCGGTTAGTTTCGTTTGTAGACTGGAACATTTCTAAACGCGTGTGAGATTTGATTTTATTGCATGTCTAGTATCAAATTAACGTAATTCTTTTTTTCGTGTGCTAACTTCCAATGTTCACAAAAGCGTCAATGTTATCAACTCCATGTAGACACGTTTTTCCAGAAATGTCTTTGAACTCGTTCAATAAACTCGCAGCACGTGTTTCATCGGGTCTAAAATCGCTCGCCTTCGGCTCAGGATTTTAAACCGATAAAACACTGCTGTTCGTTTATTAAACATTACATAAAGCATGTTTGTCCATATTCGCATAGTCTCTTTTAAAGATTGATTTCTTTCTGTTTGATGCAATGCGCTCCTTTTTGAAAGTCAAAATTTCGGATAAGAATAAAGAAGAGTCATCCAACGAAAGCAGGAACTTTGAGAATATTGCGCACAAAATCTTCTCATAGCCTCATTGGCGAAAGGGCAAATAACCGCGCAAAAGGTTGTTCATCTGTTTTTTGCTTCATGTTAGACCTAATTAATTCTTGATTCCTTTTTAGACACTGAAAGACCTTTCACTCAAAGCATTTGTTGCAGGCATAACTAATATCAGTTTGACCAAAACTGTACATGTTGCAGTCTCACTGAATGAAGCAGGCCCATTTGCTTTAAGAAATTCTTTTATTGATGACGCAGAGGCTATGACACTTTCTCGAGCATACATTTTCAAAATAATAAGCTCCGTTTCAAGACTTTCCCTGTTCTTATTTGAACCATAGAATTTTCAGGTTGAAATCGCCTCCTGAAACCGTCTTGAGAAGCAAGTTTTCGAGATTCGTATAATAGATTTTAGGGACGCAGCGTGAGATTTTGAAGGTGCAACGCAAAGGGCAAAAAGTTAGATGGCCGGAGGCGCTCCAAAGTAGGCGGGTCTGGGGGCATGCTTCCCCAGAAAATGCTTAAATTTAGGGGCTCGGAAATGCTATTCCCTGCGTCATCCACAGGACATTTTAATAAATACGAAAGAAAATGCAAATGGTTAGAATATATTTTACCTATCTCTAATGTTATCGTTAAGGTACAATGTTAACGGATAAAAAAGGTAAACAGTGACGCCATAGAGGAAATTACAAGCCAAGGAAGAGATCAGTAGCCTGCATGACAGCCGTCTCTCCTCATCTTCCCTGCGAAACATCCCTAGTGATGAGGAGCGAGGAGAGACGGCTGTATGCGCTGGCTAAGGACGCGACAGAGCTTTAAAAAGACTCGACAGGTTAAAAAATTAGCCCTAACAATTATTAACTCAGTATTTTCAACGGTAAAGTGGTGGTCTTCTTTTTTAAAAAATTTTGCCAAAAAGTGAGGGGCACGGGCCCTAACCCCCCCCCCGCCCCCCTCCTCCTACTCCTACGGCCCTAATTTATACCATCGAATCGATGGTATGTTGCTTGCGTCTTCCAAATATGCTAAGGGCCACTTATTATCAGGAATTAGCCGGGGGAATTGGAGCCAATATTTTGAATGAATAATAAATAGAGGATATTACGTGGCCGCGCGGAGATACGAAATGTCTCTTCGAGTGTTGAGAAAAATATTTCACGAGTGAGCGCGTAGCGAATGAGTGAAATAATCTTTAACACAAGAAAAGAAATTTCGTATCTTTAAACGGCCATGTAATGTTCTATCTATTTTATAAACGCCAATAAAAAAACAAACTATTTCGCTTTGATATTTTTTAAGTGCTAGAGAATACGAATGTGTCAGAACTAAAAATGGAACGAAATACACAGCCTTTAAATATAAATTCTTTTTCTTTGCAATGTAACAAATTAAGAGCTATCCTAAAATATATATGGCTCATAGAATTTTACATGTCGAAAAAAGCCAGCTGTAAGCAAGACTATTTTTAGACATCAAATCCAATTTGCCCTACATTTATAACTTACATCCATTTAAAATAAAGAGCGAGAAAAAGTCCAGTAATAAAAATTAAGGAGCTGGTAAAAACTAAAAATAAAAGCACTTCATAAGATGTAATGGCAAATATTAGAAACAAAAGTTAGACTGGGTAAGTAAAGATATCAAACAGAGTGGGGAATGAGTCAGGAGTAAGAGAGAACCTGGGTTCGCCGATTTTCAAAGCTTGTGACAAACAGTTGTATTTTCCAGAATTTTCAACAGTACGGTGTATGATGGTAAATAGCAGGTTACAAACTACTCTGTAAAACTATTTCTTTCATAGATATTCTGCATTTGCAGATTCAACAAGTATAGAATAGACCTTGTCAGGGTTTGGACGCCATTTTGACGAGCAGGCAAACGCGTGAGAAATTACAGTGTTTGTATGAGAATCTAATGTCGAATAATTTCCGTAAAACGGCTGTTCTGAAAAGAATATCAATTGTAAACTAAAGCTACAAGGCAAAGGATTGTCCTACAACATTTTGGGGGCGTACCTGTGCTTACATTTCTCCACAGGCTTGCTATAGATTTTCCACATATTTGTCTGTAATTTTCCCGGGACTTTCTTACAGACAAATGTATAGAAATTTTCAAAAAGTGGTTCTAGGTCTTCTAGTGCATGTAACGCCCTCAAAGTTTTTCAGGAGAATCCTTAGGAGTGAAGCTTTAGTTTACAAATCATATTGTTTTAGAACAGCCCTTCTACGGAAACTATGCGACATTAGATTCTCATACAAACACTGTAATTTCTCACGCGTTTGCCTACTCGTCAAGATGGCGTCGAAACCGTGACAAGGTCTAAATTCGGCCAAAGAAATGATGGTCCCGCACTTATGATCGTGACTTAACTTACCTCAATAAATCTTAGACGAAAGCTTGATTATCTTGCCCAAGAAGTTTAACTGTTCAGTTAAAGAATCGTGTTTCCACTTTCTTACTCTTAAAATATTTTTTCTCAAGGTCAAGAAAAAAGGATCATGGACAACATCTCGGAGTTTCTACAGACCATTCGTATTGGTGCAGTCGTTGCAACTTTTCTTTTCAACACTGGACGTATTATAAAAGCGGTGGACATCTTTAACGAATGCTTGGTGCTCCTTAACGGGAAAGCCCTAGAGACAATCAAAGAACTTACGACACCAGTTGTTATCTATGTATATGATAAACTTCTTGATGGCTATACTCTTATGCACGATCACACCCGTGCAATAGAATGTGGTAAAAAGCTTCACGTGACACTACACAATAGTGGTCGAAAAGAAGAAGGAGGGATAATATTACTTAAACTAGCAAAAATCTGCTATAAAAGAAGCAAATACGAGGAAACAAAACAGGTTTACGAGAAGGCACTCAGCATCATGATTGAGACAGGAAACAATCGCGGAATTGGAATATGTTACGGAAATCTGGGAGCTGTGTTTAAATCAGTTAGTCAATATACCAAGGCTGAAGAATACCTTCAAAAAGCACTAGTGATCAGGAAACAAATCGGTCACAAAAAAGGAGGAGCAGAAGATTACGGAAATCTAGGAACTGTGTTTCTTTCAGTTGGTCAATATACCAAGGCTGAAGAATACCTTCAAAAAGCACTAGTCATCAGCAAAGAAAACGGTGACAAAAAAGGAGAAGCATCTGCTTACGGAAATCTAGGAGCTGTGTTTCAATCCATTGGTCAATATACCAAGGCTAAAGAATACCTTCAAAAAGCACTAGTGATCAGAAAAGAAAACGGTGACAAAAAAGGTGAAGCAACTACTTACGGAAATCTAGGAACTGTGTATCAGTCTGTTTGTCAATATACTAAGGCTGAAGAATACCTTCAAAAAGCACTAGTAATCAGGAAACAAATAGGTGACAAAAAAGGAGAAGCAACAGATTACGTAAATCTAGGAACTGTGTTTCTTTCAGTTGGTCAATATACCAAGGCTGAAGAATACCTTCAAAAAGCACTAGTCATCACGAAAGTCATCGGTGACAAAAATGGAGAAGCGGCTGTTTACGGAAATCTAGGAGCTATGTTTAAATCTGTTGGTCAATATACCAAGGCTGAAGAATACATTCAAAAAGCACTATTGATCAGGAAACAAGTGGGAAACAAAAAAGGAGAAGCAGAAGATTACGGAAATCTAGGAAATGTGTTTCTTTCAGTTGGTCAATATACCAAGGCTGAAGAATACCTTCAAAAAGCACTAGTGATCAGGAAAGAAATCGGTGACAAAAGAGGAGAAGCAACAGATTACGGAAACCTAGGGACTGTGTTTCTTTCAGTTGGTCAATATACCAAGGCTGAAGAATACCTTCAAAAAGCACTAGTGATCAGGAAAGAAATCGGTGACAAAAGAGGAGAAGCAACAGATTACGGAAACCTAGGAACTGTGTTTCTTTCAGTTGGTCAATATACCAAGGCTGAAGAATACGTTCAAAATGCACTAGTCATTAGGAAACAAATCGGTGACAAAGAAGGAGAAGGATCTGCTTACGGAAATCTAGGGACCGTGATGCAATCTGTTGGTCAATATACAAAGGCTCAAGAATACCTTCAAAAGGCACTAGTGATCAGCAAAGAAATCGGTAACAAAGAAGGAGAAGCATCTGCTTACGGAAATCTAGGGACCGTGTTTCAATCTGTTGGTCAATATACCAAGGCTGAAGAATACCTTCAAAAAGCACTAGTCATCACGAAAGTCATCGGTGACAAAAATGGAGAAGCGACTGTTTACGGAAATCTGGGAGCTGTGTTTAAATATGTTGGTCAATATACCAAGGCTGAAGAATACCTTCAGGAAGCACTAGTTATCAGGAAAGAAATCGGTGACAAAGCAGGAGAAGCAACAGATTACGGAAATCTAGGAGCTGTGTTTCTTTCAGTTGGTCAATATACCAAGGCTGAAGAATACCTTAAAAAAGCACGAGTTATCAGGAAACGAATCGGTGACAAAGCAGGAGAAGCAACAGATTACGGAAATCTAGGAACTGTGTTTCTTTCAGTTGGTCAATATACCAAGGCTGAAGAATACCTTCAAAAAGCACTAGTGATCAAGAAAGAAATCGGTGACAAAAAGGGAGAAGGATCTGCTTACGGAAATCTAGGAACTCTGTTTAAATCTGTTGGCCAATATACCAAGGCTCAAGAATACCTTCAAAAGGCACTGGCAATCGAAGAAGAAACCGGAGACAAAAGAGGTGTTGGAGCTTTATACTTACATCTGGGAAAACTTTGTCGAGAATTTCAGCTCAATGCTAAGAGTCAAGAATTTGCCAATAAAGCACTTGAGATAAGTTACGAAATAGGAGACATTGAAATGCAGTTTAACAGCCACCTTACCATTGCTTGGAACGCTTTAGTGACAGGAGGAAACATAACTGAACTTCTGCGAAATCTGTATGAAAGCATTCAGAAGTGCGAAGAAATGCATGATTTTTTCAGAGTGAAAGATCAATCAAAAATTTCGTTTTTTGATGAGCATGTGTCCCCTTACCTTCTTCTTAGTAGCTTGCTGATTGCTACAGGCAGTTTCTATGAAGCTCTTTACGTTGCCGAGCTTGGACGCTCCAAAGCACTGACAGACGTACTGTCAGATAAGTACTCTGTGGATAAAGGGGTATCAGTCAACCCACAGTCATGGATTGGTATTGAGAACATCATGAACAAAAATACACTGAGTTCTTGTCTTTATGTTTCCTGCTTCGGTGATGATATGTACTTTTGGATCCTCAAGCCAAACAAAATGTTCTTTTTTCGGCAAACAAGACTCAAAGAAAGTGCAGATAAAGTGTTTGGAAATCAGACATTTGGTGGCTCTCTTGATTTACGTCAAGACCAATGCGAAGATCGATCATTATTTTCATGTGTAAACTCCCCGCCATCATGCAAACCATCTCAGGGTGACAGCTTCGAATCGTTGCGTCTTATAGAAGAAGAGGAAGACGAAATTCGCGACTCTAAACTTTTAACCCTCACTGATGGTTACAACATGATAGTCGCTCCTGTAGCTGACTTACTCCAAGAATCAGAAATCATTATTATACCGCATAACTTGTTGTATCCAATTCCTTTTGCTGCTTTAATAGATGATAATGGAAAGTATTTATCGAATACTTTCAGGATTCGTATTGTCCCTTCCTTGACGACTCTTAAGCTGATTCAACTCAGTCCAGCAGACTACCATAGTAAAACCGGTGCACTGATCGTAGGAGAGCCAGACGTTAGTGATGTATACTACCAAGGAAAACTCCTACAGTTGAAGTCATTGCCTTGGGCCAGAAAGGAAGCAGAGATGATTGGGCGACTCCTTGGTATTCAACCGTTGCTTGGAAGGAATGCGACTAAGCAGGCAGTCCTAGAAAGCATGCATTCAGTAAGTCTTGTTCACTTCGCTGCTCATGGTTATGCTGAACGTGGAGAAATAGCTCTTTCCCCTGTAAGCTCCTGCGGAACTCCACACGAAGAAGACTACTTATTGACGATGGCTGAAATTTCACAAGTTCGACTAACAGCCAAGCTGGTTGTCCTTAGCTGCTGTCATAGTGCACGTGGTCAGGCAAGGGGTGAGGGAATTGTTGGAATCGCTCGAGCATTTCTAGCATCGGGTGCACGCGCCGTGTTGGCGGCACTGTGGGCTGTAGAGGACGAAGCTACTATGTGGTTTATGAATCGTTTTTACCAGCACCTTGTTCATGGTGAAAGTGCCAGTGAATCTCTTTACCAGGCCATGAAATCGATGAGAGAGAATCGCTTTTCTGACGTCGAGCAGTGGGCACCCTTCATGCTGATTGGAGATGATGTAACATTCAAAGGTTTGTATTTGATATTTATAATTTTTAGGTTTTTCTAGCTGTTTTTAGTCAAAATATGTGAAATGAATGTTCGTGACAACAAATTACTTCCAAAAAATATTATTAAGCGAGTTATACTGAGTTTTGTTTATTGTTTTTTCCAACCCTGTTCATGAAAATGAGGCAAATGGAGAGAAGGCCGAATTTTATTTTCCGATTTTCATTGAATATTTCGTAAAGCATGCATGCTCGGATCCAAAACAAAAATGTAGAAAACGATAGTTGAGATTACAAGGAGCATACGAAAACAATTTAACTCATAGAGAAGAGAAGTAAGTGGCTGTCAAACAAACTTTTTCTTAAGGTTGTACCTGATGAAAGAAAAAACGTCGACTATTCCAATACGAATTTACTGAACTTTTAGCATATAAACTCTTTTTTTTTATAAGAATGTTGTTTTTCCGGCCCAGGCTGACATTTCCGTTTTAGAATTGTGCACGTACTCCATCGCTTTTCGGTCAAGATGTCACGTCAAACGACACTTGACCGTTTTGGCTTTAAAAAAAGCATTTCGCACAGAAATAGCGTGATGGAAACGAAAGTACCCGATTTTGTTTCAACTATGTCAAGGAGAATTAAGTGTAATCACTGCAGTAAACTCTTTGTTAACCAGCAAGGGTTGTCTCTACATAGCCTCTGTACAGACGTCCCCCCTCCCTCAGCAAAAATCGGGAGAAGTCTCTTCTCCCGATTTTTTCTGAGGAAGGGGGGACGTCTGTACACAGGCTATCTGTACATGATAAATTGTGTGCATGGTGTTAGCGGAATGACAAAGGCAGCCAAAATTATATCTATCCTTTTCAAAATCTCAGCCTCGACTTTATTCTTAAAATATTCTTAAAATTTCGTAAATTTCAGCCTCAATATTCTTATAAAATATATTCTTATAAAAAAAAAAAAAGAGTGTAAATAATTTCCTCAAAGTGTAAAGGTTTGCTATTTGTTTGACTTTGAAAAAATCTGTGTTAAAAATATTATAGGTAAAACATTTAGTGCAACGAGTAACAGAAGCATGTTGATCGATGTCTAAAATAAATCCTGCAAAGAATGAGAATACATTCGAAAGGGAACCGTGATGATTAGTTTTTCTATTCGCAGGTGCATTTGATAAGAGCAGTTTGAAAGATGGCGAAGGTGCAACGGAAACAAAGAACTTGTAAACTGAGAGGAAACATGTCGTTTAAGTTGACAACTACTGTCACAGCTGTACATAAATGTATATACCCAGGATCTCAATAAAGTTGTCTTGTCTGAGACCCGCAAATAGAACAGGTGATAATTGTACTTTTAAAGCAGGCGCCATTTTGATACGTTACAGGCGAAGGTGAAGCATGAGCTGAGGGCGGAGAACAAGGAGAAGGGGTAAGCAGGACTAGTTAGTCGTCCTCAAAGTGGAGACGTTAAAGTTGTATAGACCTTCTGAACCTACATCTACTATATTAGTCAGGACTTCTTTCGTTCAACGTGACGTCTGCTACTCGTTAATCCTGTGCCTACGCTTGCCTCAAATAAGCTCAATCACTGACCTGTTTTACGCGAACAAAAGTATTACTTTGCTTTGATAAATTTTGTAGAGGTACTGATCTTGACGAACGTGATGAAATGCCACATAGATATCTAAGCTAAGAAAAGGGACTCAAGTGTTCTCTGGAATTAAGTGCTCCTCGCGAGGGGCACCCAACGACGGTTTCCTCCTAAATACATTGAAAACACTTTTTAGGCAATCCAGAAGGCTTTTAGATCTCTAGAAATACATTCTATATCTGCCTGGTCATCTTAGGGGGTGCTTGAGTCTTTTTGAAATTACAAGGGCTTCTGTATTATTTTCTCGAAAATTTTAGAATGCAATTTAACGTATTACGAAAGTGAGAATTTCTCTCTCCATCACATTTTTTAATCCGAAAATAATTTTAGGTTTCCTTTTTTCTACGAAAAATAGCCTATCCTAGGGAGGGAAATGTGAAAAATTAAACTTACTTCAGAAAATCGTGGGGAATGTTTTACATAAGCTTCGAAAATTGTCATTATGAATGGAACGGTCTTCAATAAATTTTTAACTGTCCTCAAATAATAGAAAATTCTACAGACAGTAGGCACTCTTCTTCCAACAGATTTTTACAGAAAATCGTCGTTGGGTGCCTCAGCTCTGCGTCAATACGATACTTACGGCATTGCTTTTAAGTTGTTTTTTATATGCCTAAAATCATAGTTCTAAATCAATTCAGCATGATGGCGAGTCTTAGAGGACACAAACAAAGAAAATGAATAAACATGTTTGTGTCCTCTAAGACACGCTATCGTGCTGAATTTTCATATATTGAAAGACCTTCCATTAGTGACTGATAAGACTTAACAACTCGGGCGATGTATGAAATTGTATTCTCCCGTTTTGAATCAGGCGTTTTCCAATCCTCTGTCCTGCCCTGTCATACCTGCTAGGGCTGATCTTTTTTTTTTTTTTTTTTCAAACGTAAACTGACACCATTGAATGGGTGGGTGCTCACTAGAATTTAGAAATAGAGATTTATCTGAGTTGGTCCTCTTACAGCATTATGATCTCGGTTCAGTTATGAAAAGGACTTGAGATCTTTAGAATGTCGGCAAATTCTTAAGTCTTTCCAGGTATCATTCTGGTTTTTTTAGAAAGGAGCCGGCCTATCAATCACTACAGCGTTTTTGTGTAATTTGTTAGCTTATTTCTATTGGAATTTTACGCCTCTGACTAGAGTTCTGTTATAAATAGTGGTTATTAGCTGTTTTCTGAGCTAAAGCGCTCATCAAATAACATTGTTTTCAAGAGAAGGGGTTGCTTAGTGAACAAGGTTAGTTATTTAGAGAGGACAAACGGCAAATTGCTGTTGCTCGAAATATCTGAAAGTTTAAAAAATAGAAAATCTAAACGCCGTAACTGTTCGTCAGTAGGACGATGTGACTTTCACTTTCCAGTAATGAGTCACATAATAACAACAAAACATGACCAGCTACAATATTTTAACCTGATTCTTTCAGGACTTGTCGTTAGTTTTCCCCTCCGCCTCAGTGAAATAATTAACAGTAAGAACCGAATCAGCTCATTCTCTTTTGTTAACAGGTGGAATGGTGGGATGGAACGCTGGATGTAAAATCTAGTAGAGGGACTAGTACTGATTCCTCCGGGATCCGTCCCCAGTCGTCTCACCAGTCTCTCCCCAACTCCTTGTGAGAGAGTTTAATTATTAAAGAGAGAATCGCGCAGGAGATACGGGCATGAGAGCTGGGAAGGAAGACGCGGGAAGACGATGACCTAATCAATTAGACAATGACCTTAGGCAATGATATTTTGTCGAGTTCCAGTGCCAATCTCCCGCGGCCGAGTCGCGACCGCCTATGAATGATGGGGAGGGGACCACTAAGGACAAGCCTCGACAGCTGTCAAACGAGCAAAATTTGGAAACCTAAGCAAAGTATTGCAACTTTGAAATCAGCCTTGCTTCTTTCCGTTGTTCAGATATTTTAATTTATAGCTGATTAGATCCTCTATTAGGATCCGCTCCTTCTATTTTGTAACGTTGGTCCTTGCTCTCAAAACTGAGTTCAAAGCTAGAGTTGCCACTTTTATTTCACTGGAAGGATACAACATATAAGTACCAATGCACTGTTGATTTACTAACTGTTTTGTAAGTTTAATAAAAAAGTTAGAGGTGTTTAAGAACTTAAACAGGTGATACCGTTCGTCAGCAAAATTTACTCCGGCGCAAAGCGTTTTCAACGGAAACAAGCTCAATATTTTGCGAAAAAATGAGAACTTCGTTAAATTAAGTGGTCATTTTGTACATCCTTGCCCATGTTTCCATTTAATGACGAACGACATCCAAGACGAAAGTCATACGTCGTAAAATTAACGCGATTATTCAAAATAACCGCTATTTTTGTGAGGGCATGACCGCGCACAACAACAACATGGGCTCTAAACAACCTCAGAACAAATGTTGTGACTATTCGGCCGGGGCATAAACGCCAAGCTAACTCTTGGGGATTCAAGACTTAACAGCTCCGTTTGCTTGTGGTTTTCAACGCCTCAATTAAATAGTTAGTCGGGGGACTGATGGAACGCTAGATGTAGAATCTGGTGGAGGGAATGATTACTCCCCAGTCGCCTCGCTTGTCTCTCTCTTTTATTTTAAAGTAATGATCCGGGTAAGGTGGATAGCAATTTCTTTTGTTATGCGGCAACCGTGCTTTCCCCACATAGGAATGTTTTCATTTTTACACAGAGAATGCATAAGCCTACATGAAGGCCGTTTACGCAATAAAATGCATTTACACTCCACTTTGAAAGAGTGTTTTTTTGTGTTAAAAGATTTTGACCAATCACAAGAGTTGAAAACAATAGCCAAGAAAAGTTTACAGTTTTACGTGTTCCCCACATAGGATTTCTTTGTTATTCAAACTGAGACCAGATTTTGTTATATGGAAGATGGTTGGAAAGTAAGGATGAATATATGTACCGCTTTATGAAGTTTTGTTAACTTTTGCTGTTTAAGCCAATCGGAAGTAAGTACAGACAATAGAAACGTTAGCACCTTTTTTGCATTCTGACATGTTCGTTGCCGTTGTTGCTATCGTTCTTATCTGGACCGTTTCTTAAACATTAACGACGGGAGCGCATAGGATATACGCACGAGGAAAGATGGGAAATAAATAGTTCCTCTCTCTTTCCCCTTCATCGAATTTCCGTGCCAGTCTCCTCCAGGTTGATGGTGCAATGACTTTTTAACAACATCACATTTTTCCACGCATTATGACAGCTAAGGAAAACGCGTTTTTGAGCGACACACATCAACCTATCGCCAAGAATGAGACGACATACATCTGGGACCTTTTTACACGTAGTCGGTCAGACAAAAGGGAAAACGGCCGAAAATCGGCTAACAGCACCTACATCCGGCGTGTTAGCAACGCACGTCAACCCAGCGGGGCTAGGTGCCGGGCCTTTTCCCTATGCCTTAACGCGCACAAATTTTTACTGCTAAGTGTCTCTAATCTTATGACGATTTGTCTAAAAATATGCGCAAAACCGCTGGACAACAAAGCAAAAAGGTACACATCCAGTTGCCGTCGGTCGCTTGCTTGTCTCTTTTTCTTATTTAATATTAACGACGGAAGCGCAAAGGACATATGCACGGAGGAAGATGGGAAATAAATGTTTCTTCTCTCTTTCCCCTTCAGCGAATTTCCGTGCCAGTCTCCTCCTGGCCGACGGTACAATGACTTTTAACAAGATCATAAGCAAACGCGTTTTTGAGCGACGCCAACAACCCATCACCCAGAATGAGAAAACATACATCCGGGACCTTTTCAGTCGCCTGGGCGAAAATTGAAGTCTATTCTTAACTCCAGTGGGTCAGACAAAAGGAAAAATGGCCGAAAATCGGCTACCAGCAACTACATCAGGCGTGTTTTCGACGCACGTCAATCCCAGCGGGGCTAGGTGAGAGCTTTTCCCTATACCCTAACGCGAACAAATTTGTACTGCCAAGTGTCTCTACTCTTATGACGATTTGTTTAAAAATATGGGCAAAACCGCTGGGCAAGAAAGCAAGAAGGTACACATCCAGTTGCCGTCGGTCGATCTCAAAAACGCCTTTTCTCGCCTTCAGACGACTTCAAAAATAACAAACTTGTGGCATATGGGCGCGGTAGGCGAGTGTGTCACATAGACCCGCATACTGTCTGACCACATTTTGATGTCTTGTTTGATCTATAACTGAAAAGACGCAAGAGATGAGACAACTTTTGAATTCAATTCTTATTAACGACGTTTTCTACGTGAGTTAGCATGCTGATGAAGTTGATGTAAACAAAATCGGTCGGTTATTATGATGAACTCTAACTTACACCGTGGCTTAGGAAGTCTTTGGAACTCAAGATCTCTTCCTTAGTGGGTTATTTTAAAAAGACAAATGCTTTTCTAGTCTACGCCATTTGCTTTCTTGAAACTGTTCACGAAACATGGTGTTAGCATAAAAGCGCTCCGCAACTGAAAATCGCTTAGAGCGCAGTTTTGTCAAACACTGGCTAACCTCCGTTTAAATAACTGGCCCAATGTGTCTTGAAAAATGAAGGGAATTTTTTGGTGGAATTTTTTGCTCCAACTCCTCGGGCAAAGGCACTGTCACAC